GTCGTCTGCAACAAAACGCAGCGGGTCGTCTTCTTGTAACTATTTTATTCACTCCATCTGGTGCCAACCGTACAATCAACTAAAATGCTACAAAATTGTTTTTTTTTTTTTCTATTTTACTCTTAACCTTTCAATGATTCCTTTTTTCTATTTCTCTTTAATCGCAATTTTTCATAATTTTGTTCTTCAACATTTGCCGCTCTTCAATCCTTTACATCAGGCTGACAGTAACAACAGCAACAACAAAAATATTCAATGATGAATTCTGTCAGGTGTTGGATTGGTCTTGATGTCAAACTACTTCAAGTTTTTAACAGAGGCTAGTACGTGAGTGCGCATGCGCTGATTCTCCCAATACCATTCCAATGAAAATGTTTCTATATTCCTTCTCAGTTTTCACACACACACACACACACACACATATATATATATATATATATATATATATATATATGGTGGGGGTCATCATTGAACTCTTCTTGCATTCTCTATCTCTGTCTATCTATCGCTAACTCACCCTGAATCTATTATTCTCTCTCACTTTTCTCGTATTTTCTTTACACTACCACTTCTATTTCTGTTGAATTCACACTCGATTTTATCGCTTCCCTTGCATTTTTTTAATTAAATTTCTTTAAATTACCCCCTCTCTCCTCTCCTGTCTTCTCCACCTCTCTCTCCCACTCTCTCTCTTCCTATTTCTCTCTCATATTTTCGAAATTTCGCGCTTTTCTCTACTGAATCGTTGCATATTACGATCTGTAATTCTTCTTTAATATTGACCTGCCTGTCTTTCCAGTGAATCTTTTTTTTCTCACGTCTAGCTCCCTCACTCACACTTCCCCTCTTTTTGAACGTTTGCAGAGTTTTATCCATATCTACCTATCTAAAGTCAATCCCACACCTCTTCCTCTTTAAATTTTTACCTTTTCTTCAACAGTCTCTCTCTCTCTCTCTCTCTCTCTCTCTCTCTCTCTCTCTAAATTTACATTTTTTCCTTATACTCTTTCTTTCACTCTCTTCATCTCTCCCATTCTTATCACAACCCATACTGACATACTTTCTTTCCAGCTTTCTTATTTACTTGCTTTTACATACTAAATCTCTACCCGCCACTTTTATCTTTTCGTCTTTCCCATTCTCTCTGCTTTAATTACAAACGATGATTTCTTATTAATCCAGACCCCGCCCCTTCTCAAATCAAGGGACATTTTTTATTCCTCTTTTTAATTCAAAGGAAATAATCCATAACATAACAGATATGAAGCAAAATTACCGCTTCTCATTGCTTCGTGTCATAAGCGGTCTCGTGATAGAATACAGTGAACATGTGACGGGCTTTCGCCGAGAAAAACCAATCAGACGCGGGGCGAACCGACCGCTTCTTTCTTTTCCATCGATTATCGACTAATCGATCAAGCGTGGTTTTTAATGGAAGACTGTTTCTTTAAGAATGTTGAATGATGATTTGGTTAGCAGGGGGTCGACCATTTTTCGGAACGCGGCGTGCAATTGACAAGGAAAGGTTTTGCAACCGAACGAACATAAGGAGGAAGCCACCCACGGAGGTGACAACATTTCCTGATGTCTCCACACACAATGTCGATGGTCAGCATTTACACCACTCACTATCATATATCTTCATCTTCCTATCCTCTCTTCCTCATCCACTAACTATAAGTATCTTTATCAGCCCCCAGTATCTTTATCTTTATCAGCCCTCCATGTATGTATGTATATATATATATATATATATATATATATATATATATATATATATATATATATATATATAGTATTTTCAGCATAGATTTATATAATAAATCAAAAACATAGATAGATAGATAGATAGATAGATAGATAGATAGATAGATAGATAGATGTTTTCAGAATAAATTAATATTGCCCAATCAAATTTAGCAATATTTTCTGTGTATATTTATATAATACATAAAAAACACTTAATTTGAAGACTTTCAACAACAGTAATAACAAGAATGAATAGCACATGTAATTAGAATGGAAAATAATCATATAATCAAGATGTTGACTTTCCACACTACCTTAAATAAAAAATGGGTAGGAAAGAAATTCTCATCAGTACTAAACAGAGCGATAGCAGTTAGTGGACTTGAGAAACCTATTTTCCTGAAAAACTGCTTAAAAACAAAGCTTTTATAAATTTAAACTAGGTACCTCCAAAAATTCGTATACCTAATTTTTAAATGTATTTTTCATAAAGGAAAAGTTCGTTTTGAAAGCTAAAGAATTAAATTTTCTAATTCCAGAAAAAAAATACAGTGGAGTATTTCAAATAGAAATTTGAATGATTTTTAGTCGATTCTTCTGAAAAACCAATCGAAATGACCATTTTTAACTTTTTTAGAGAAATGTAAACAAAAGTTCTTTCTTCGTTTTTGAAAATCCCGCTAAAATAAAATATACATTCCTGAAACGTTACTTTCGTAAAATTAGCAAATTTAAAGTTTAATTAATCTGTTCTGAAACAAATATCACTTACTTATAGCATAAAAGTTTCTAGACAAACATTTTTGACCTCGGGGTCTTGTTATTTTCACGTCTCCATCGATAATTTGATGGCTGAATGTGTTGACAGGTTTAGTATGGTGCACCAGAATTAACATAATTTTATGAATTCTAAGTAAGAACAGTTTTTTTTATTTTTGTTTCTCATAATAAATTAAAATATTATAAAAAATTCTTACATTATTGAGTTACCTCTATAATGATATTTCATGATTTAATAGCTAAGATAATGATAAATGATTTTATATATTATTAATATTATATTAAGTTATTACATTTTTAATTTAATAACTGAGATAATAATTAATAAAATTATTAATACATTAATAATTAAATTATCTTCCTCAGTTATTAATTGTTTAATTGATAAATGAGATTTTATTATCTCAATTTAATTTGTAATTTACTAACTGAGAGTGTGGTAAATTAATAACTGTCTCACACTCAATTATTAAATTTCTAAATTGACAACCGGGATAACATAATAAATTTAATTATATTATTTTAGTCATTAAATTAAAAATTAAATTATTAACTAACTCTCAGTTATTAAAATTTTAAATGAGATAATATATTTATATTCTTTATTATTAATTGTTACACTTTCATGGTTATGAATTGTTAAAGTTATTTTATTAAACTCGCAAAAAATAAAAAAATGAAAATAAAGTAAAAACAAATTAAATTATTTTTCATAACGAAGTAAAAAAAACTAATGAATAAAACAAATTATGCATGACATACACTATGAAAAGTATACTCACGATATAAAGCAAAATGAAATAGGAAAAAAAACTTTAGAAATCATACCTTCAAGATTTAAAAAGAAGCCTGTTGAAGCGTAGGGGCGATGAAGCACGGAAGTGAAATGAAAGTATTGCTCGCAGCCAAAAACTTTTATGTCAAATAGTTTTCTCTAAGGGGGACAGTCCTTGAAACACGTGACCTTTTAGCCATAATATCACTTACGATGCACCATACTAAAAAATATAACATTTTGACTCACAAAAAATATCTTTAAATAAGGTAAAAAGTTTTGGAAGTATGATTTGTATTAAGATTTTAGTTTTCGCTTAGTAAATATAGTCTTCAATTTATAACTTAATAACCTACCTCGTTCTCAGTTTGGAAGAATTTTAAAACATTTTTTTAAACTTAAAGACAAAGAAAAACAATTCTTGAAATTTTTTTTTAAATGCAAACATTTCTTGTAAACAATAATTATTCTTCGAATTATTTTTTCTTCAGATAATAATGTCCTTAATGTATATTATTTATAATAGCAAATAAAAGCCTATCTAATTAGATAGTTTTATTGTCGTTTTTATTTTATGATTTGGAGCAGATTTTTAAGAAATTGGGTGTAGTTGCGGAAAAAATTGATGATTTACCTTCTCCAAGGACTCCTGCTTATAAGTAATATAAAACAATTTGCGAACTCTTTCAAATTCTACAAAATTTCATAAAATTAATTTGTGGGGGGGGAGTAACAGATGTAAAAAAATTATTTTTACCAAGATTTTCTAAAAATGAAAGTTTCAACAATAAATTCATTTATTCTTTGAAGAATTTCTGAAAGTTTCATTAAAATCAGACAATTATTTGATTTTTGCAAGAATTTCCAAATTAATGTGTTTTACACTGGAAACTGCTACACTAAAAATGTCTATTACCACAAGTCTTACAAAGCTGACAAAAAAACGAGATATTTTAGCCAAATTTAGAACGAGTTAGAAAGGAGGAAAAAATTTTAAAATATAATTTAAAAATACTTTGTTCTTTTCTCTTAATAATAACATAAACATTTTTTAGGTTAAAACTTGTTTTTATTAAGTTTGGGGCCTTTTATCATCAAGCTATACTGTTTTTTAGCGAATTATTGGAGGTACCTAATTTCAACTGATATTAATGCTAACAGTTCAGTCAATGTCGAATGCTTCCTGTATGGAAACGACTATTCTTATCATTATTATATCATTTCAATTTCAGCTCCAAATATCAGTTTTTATTAGAGATTTTTACAATAACTTATTTGAGTGTGAAATTTAACAACACCAAGACTGTTCGTCACATTCTTCATCGGTATATACATGTGATAGCATAGTTAGTTTTTTTTTATTTTAATTTATGTGTGTGTGTGTGTGTAATAAGCCCTAATAAAGCGCTCAGAGACTCCGCTCTAAAATCGTGACTCTTAGTTTCACGCTAAAACGATCTTCAAACGATATAGATGTTTTTGTTCTGAAGATCGCTTTAGCGTGAAACTCGCAATCACGGTTTTAAATCAGAGTCCCTGAGCACACTCTTGGTGTTTGATGTAATTACAGTCCTGTCTTTGTTGTTTTCTAGAGTCTTTAAGCACAAAAGATTTTTCTTTAGCTACGTGCTTTCTCTTGTAACCCCTTGTGTTTTAGTGGATTTACTGCTTTGTCTGAGATGATATCGATTAAAAA